GCAAGGCGTTGCACAGTCACTGTTTAATTAAGGGCAGCAAAAGTGCAAGGAAGCGTACTGGGCGAGAGCTGGTGAAAAGCACGCACAGCTCGAGTAGATGCGGTTGACGAGTAGATGATGCTATACTTTCTTTCTGTACTGGACGTCCCGACAGTTGAACGCTTGGACGCTGTATTTTAGTCTTGGACTGGAAGTCGGTCCGCATGCATTTCAAGTCCGTGAATAGCTGAAATCGCGTACAAGCAGGAAAATAATATTGCGGATCAGCCACTCTATTGGCTCAGTGGGCTTTCGTCCCCCCTAGAAGTGTTTGTTTGCTTGCATCCCGCTTCCTTTTCCTAAGCTTGCCTGCTTGGATGCATTGGGCTTGCCATTCTAATCTAAAGAATGCGCTGCTTATGCCCACATTCTCAGATACAGACGGCAGAAGGAATGGATGTAACAACCAGAGGACATGCTGTAGATGTGGCCTCAGGGCTGCAGCGGAGCTGAGAAGCTCAGAGACCTAGGAGTACTTTCATCGGTCCATGCTAGAAGCAGTGTTAATTGGACAACCTCACATGATGCAAGTTATAAAGCACTTTAAGAGAAGCCGTAAGGCTGCCGCTGCTTTGTTGTGTCTTGTTAGCGGTGAATGAGGGGTGGAATTATCTTCAGGGCTGTCTAACGGTGGAGAAAGCGGAAAAAGGTAGCATGATACTATGGGTTATTGCTCATGTAGTGCTGCCCTACCAAGGTGTGCACGAAGGTGTTGTTCATTCCGTAGCCCTGTCGTTTTAATCTGTCCCCAGTGTGTTTGTACGAGGCAGCTGCCACTGAGAAAGGCGTGAGGTCGGGCAATTACCTGTCTGCTTATGGGGTGCGGCGGTAATGACTTTCTGAATGCTAGTCTCTGACTTGCGCTACAGATGTCGTGAGCCTATTCTGAGGTCTCAGACCACGGCCTCTCTTGGAACAGGAAGAGGACCCAGTAAACATGAAAAGGTATCGGGAGTCCTTCAATATTAATTATTTCTGTATATTTCAGGCCGATACATGTTTTTAATGCGTTTTGCCCACACACTGCGCTCGCCACCGCTAAATCTGCACCAGTGGACCGGCGGCCCACTCACTGCCTTTGTTCATGCTTGCGAATTGAAATGTTGGGTAAAATACACTTAATGAAAAGACTATATAGAATATTATGCTGAATAGAGACTTGATTTCAGTTAGATCAGAGAAGTCGTGGAGTGTTTGCCTTCTGACCGCTGAAGACGAGCAAACTTTAGGGTCACCCGCAGGCAGAAGGCTAATGAGGAAATTCGCCATGGATGCACCCTTAGATTGTTGTTTTAATATGTTATATTTATTTAAAATACATGTAAAACATTAGTACAAGGAGCTCTGTGCATATTCTGCTTATTTGGGGGGCTTGGAGGCGGTTGCGCTGCCTGGTGCCTCTCACAGAGAACCCGGGCNGCATATTCTGCTTATTTGGGGGGCTTGGAGGCGGTTGCGCTGCCTGGTGCCTCTCACAGAGAACCCGGGCTGACAGGCGGCGTCGCTGCACCGGCGCGAAATGCTGACTTAATTTTCTTCTTCAGTTCAAATAAAACTTTGACACATTTCGTGCAGGTTATTCATTGGCGTATTTGGCGGCGGAAAGGCTACCGAGCGTATAAACGATCGCGTACTGCAGCAGAGCGTTCCTGTTGTGTCTGCACACACATTGGGCCGCACGTATTCTGAACATCCCCTCCCTTTAGACCGTTAGTCCGACTTCCTTCTGGGTGTTTTTTATGTTGCCTTTGTGCCCCTTCGATTGCCTTCCCCTGACACCCCATCCCTGCGCCCAGAACAAGGGCCCGGCGCGGCGGCCTCCTTCCTTCCTCTCCCCTTTCTCGTGGCCTCTTCGCCTCCTCCGCGTCTTCCTCCGCAGTTTCACCCGCCTTCCAACATGGTATGAACCACAGCTGTTCTGCAGTGATGTATGGCTGACGGCTGTTGCAGCTGCCCCGCTGCAGCTTCCGTACAGCGTCCCTGCTTCTGCCTGCCCGTTGCCCCACTGCAGTTGCCAGCTTCTGCGCCTTTGCAGCAGCACTGGAGTTGTGCGGTCCCTCGGCATTTTGGTGTCTGAGTTTCACATCCTCGGAGCAGCTAGTAGCAGCACGCCGTCTATCATGACACGTAACGAAGAGATATTGTGTTGTGCTGTGT